CACACACAGGCAATTTTAATTTTGAATTTGAAGGTTAGGTTATTGACAATTCGACAGTTTCGTGTCATTATTGTAAATTTTGTGTTCTTAAACCCTTCTTTATTATATTTTGAAATAAATACACTCATAACTTCAATGTTAATTTGTATGTTTAGTGTTGACGATAACAAACGAAAATAAATACAATAATAAGTAAATAAATAAATAATAATAATTATTAATTTAAATTTACCGCCAAAATATCTAGTGATATTTCCTAGTGTAAATCTGACTTTCGCGTTTACTCCTGCTGGTGTAAAAACAGAGTATAATACAAGTTATGCATCTAAGAAAAACAAGGGAGTTTCACCAGTAAATAAACGTTGTAATCTCACCTATTTTAGTGAAAATAACTTTACTTTTAAGTTAATCACATTGATATTGTGCGTAGCTATAAAATAAACAATCTGTAGCTTAGGTGTTAAAGCCGGTTTAATAGGAAAATATGGTTAACATGGCTTGTGACGTCACATCGAAACTTTAATGTGATTTTTGAGTATTTTCTACACTTTTTCATTTTTAACTTGTTTTTTTGTTATTTCACATTGATTAAAAAAAAATCGTCGATTTTTAGCCACAAAATGATTTTTGAATTTTTCCGAAAATTAATTAAAAAATTAATTTAAAACTTACCAACTTTACGACCTTGGGAAATCTTTTGCGGACTTCGCTGTTGAGAAAAAAATAAAGGCGCCCCCAAAGCAATTAGAGGTCTGAAACACTCTCGGAATTTGTTTTTGACAAGGTTTTCGAAAAATTGATCCAAATTAACAAATTTTTTGGCGATTTTATTTAATTAAAACTTTTTGATTCATTTTTAAGCGAGGAAACGAATCAAATCAAAAAATTTTATGTCAACATAACCTTAATTAATTTTTAGTGTCATTTTAATTCCATTATTATTTCATAGATGTCGTTATAATTGTCATAATCATTTTTAATTTATTTAAAATTATTATTTAATAATAAATAAAAACCAAAAAACACATTCTTTTTTGTTTTAGGAAAAGGAATTAAAGGATTTTTTTATTTTTATTAATATTTTTTTTTTGTTATATTTTTATCCCATTTTATTTATTTTTTAAAAATTATTTAATTCGTCTTATTTCGATGTTTTTGGTATTTTGCAACTATCTTAAAGGATAAAACCTTAATTGATACTAGTCGCTACCAATTCGTTGCGCAAGTTTGAGCCCTTAATATTTTAACAAACTGACTCCGAAGAGATCAGCTGTTTTTTATTTCGAAGGGATCAACGAGCAAAGACGAATAATATCCATTTCAAATTCAAGGATTCGTTTAGTAAAGGATTTTTTTTTAATTATAACCATTTTCGGTTACACAAAGGAAGATTTGGGGGAAGAAAAACATAAATTATGTGTTAATTTGGTTTCTAACCTCAAAATGTCATTTTTCGACATTTAATGTTTTAAATTTCAATTAATTAATTATAAAACATCTTTAAGATAATTAAAAGAATCAAAACGAATTCGAATTACCCAATTAAATAATTTTGAATTGATTCGCCCTTCTGTAATGATTTTTGAGCCAAAAAAAGCACCAAAAAAATTTTTTTTTTGGCAATCTCATCTCACCAAATTATTCTTTTATACATAAATCAGACCTATACTACCTGATATAAGATTCTTTTTCTTGAAAGGCATCGCAGAGAGGGTTTCCATCAAGAACCAAATCGACGATTGGTAATCCTGATAAAGCATCTAATTGCAGCACATCTTTTAACTAAACGAATAATTAATTTAACAAAAATTACCTAAAAATTAATTTTCGTTACCTTATTTTTCCCCATGTGTAAAATTTTTAAATTCGGCAACTTTTGCGACATTTTCTTTAAATGCCCCAACATGTGGATGTTATTGTCGAACAAATTAAGCGCTTCCAATTCGGGGATATTTTCCGATATTATATCGATAACGGAAAGTAAAATGATCGGCTTGAATAGGGCGCAAAAAATGTGCTGTAAATCGGGATCGGCGTGAAATTTCGTCAAATCCAACGCTTTCGTGGCTGCGTTGTATCGTTTCCCCATGGCCATTTTCATTTTCTCTTTCATATCGTTTGTTATGTCAACGTTGGGGCACCCCGTATTCACCCGAATAAATAAATTAAAACCGTCCGGCATTTGTATATCGCGGTCAATTTCGTTTATTTGATTCGCAGTTTTAAAATCGTCCACGTAAAACGTTGCGCTTTGTCCATTTACTTGCCACTAAAGTAATGGGTTATCAAAATATTAAATTTAAACTAAAATAAAAAACTTACCATAATCGGAATAAAAGAAGTCGGTTCTAATTTTTCCCCGATTTTTTTTAATACGAAATTTTTTTCGTATTTATTCCCGTAGGGTAACTGTATCAATAAAAATAATAAAAATTTTAAATGGCATAATTCAAGAATCATCATGTCGCTTATAAATCAACAATTTTTTTTAATTGAGGGGAAATCCACTTAAGTAACTCGTTACAAATAAAAAAAAGTGCGGAAAAGTGTAAAGCTCACCGAAAAATCACTTTAAAGTTTCGACGTGACGTCATTGACTGTGCTAACCAATTATCACAGCACATTTACTTTAGCGGTACTTTAAAATACCGGTAGTTTTAAACATTATTAAGGCCCACTTTTACCATCCTCCTGATAAACTATCTAGAGGATAGTTGCCATGGTTACGGCGGTTTTAAGCGCTCTCATTGGCTAAGAACTGGATTTATCTATCGGATAAATTTATCAGGAGGTGGTAAAAGTGGGCCTAAGATTGATAAAAAATGAGCCAAGCGAATACAGAAGCGTTTTGGTACTTGAACAAAGCTTTGATTGATGAAGAACTTTTGGTTGAGGCTGAAAAAGTTTGCGTTGAATTAGAAAATCTCCCGTTGAATAATTCTGAACAGACAGACATAGAAGATGACATTGTTACTACCAGTGCTAGTGAGGTACCAATGCTGGAAGATGAAGAAGTAGAACAACCAACTAATCAAAATGAGGAAACTGAAGTAGTAAAAATACGTGGAAAGGGCCCAAGAAGAAGAACAAGGCAGAAATTGATAGAAAATGGAGAAAACCGAAACTAAAATTCCTAGAGAATGATGATTTCAAAGGCCTTTACTGAGTGTATTTTGATAGCGTTTTAATTGTCATAAAGTTTCAACATTTTTGACTTCTTGGAACACAAAGAAAACGCATATTTTGGTGAAATACGGTTGTTTCTTAGATTTTTGACCCAAAACGACTAAATTGTCGTTGTTTGCCATCTATAAACTAAAAATAACCTAAAATTTATCAAACCTCGTATTTTTTATGGTATTTTTTGTAATTCACGTTTTTATCCTTTCTTTTTAACAAAAATAAAATAAATTTTGACAATGTAGGGAAATAGGTATGTAGCAGACGGTTACAGTGTTAACCGTAATTGACAATTAGAAACTGTCAAAACACAAAATGTATTCACCTGACCTGAAATGTTTAATGTACACCTCCCAAAATAAAAGAAATTGGTCAGAGTTCTATTAAAACACTACTTCCAGAGAAGTTCCAGGAACAACAGTACGCTAAATTTATAAATTCCAATTCAAATTGTCACATTAACAACTAGAAAAATTAATGACCCAATGTCACCAACACAAACTGATTCCATAAAATGTTAATAAAATCTCATTACAGCACCCGTTTGAGTACTGTAATAGCTTTCATTACCGTCGCGAATTACAAAAAGTATCTTAAAAAATTGAGAAAACTACTTTAATGTGACCGTTCAACTAATAATCATTTATTTGAGTGTTACTTGAGTGAAAATTAAAATTTTTCCCTACATTATCGGCGGTTTTAGCGCCATCTATTGACGAAAATAGTACATTAATTAATAAGTTTAGAAATTATTTTGCGATAATAACTTAATAAAAAATAATGTTTATTAATAAAAAAAGGATGTTGAATTGAATACAAGGTAAATATTGATTAATAATAACGAAAGAAATGTCTTCTGATAGTTTGGATGATGAACCTAACCTCAATTTGTTGAGAGAAGCTTCTAGGTCTAGTATTAGTTCTAGTTTTACACTAGCATTATCACTGAAACTAACACAAGATCTAGAATCATTCGGGTTTAGCCTTCTTAAGAGACATGTGGCTAAACCCGAATATTTCCAGTTCCAATATTAAAACTAACGACAGGTAGTCAGTCGTTATGCATCAAAAGCTTAAGAAAAGCAAGGGTTTTGCATCTAGTTTAGCGAAAATAAGTTTACTTTAAGTTTATCATATTGATTGTGTGCATTGCTATAAAATAGGTTTAATAGGAAAAAGCATGTTTTTGATTAACACAACATTACTTGTGTTAACCAAAACTTTAAAGTGATTTTTTGGTATGTTCTACACTTTTGCGCACTTTCTTTTTATTTTTAACGTTTTTTGGGTAATTTCACATTGATAAAAAAAATTTGCGATTTTTAAACCACATGATTCTTGAATTTTTTCTAAAATTTAATTTTTATTAAAAAAGTAACTTACAGTGACTCGATACCAATTCATGGGGCCTTCAAGGAGCTTCTTTTTCCCCCGTTGAAACGTCGTACCCGATTGGCCATCGCGCCTCTTGTTTCTCTTGGGGAAAATCACCTTCGCGTTTGAGCTACCACCCATATCAATATCTTCGTCGGCTAAGTGATATCGGACCGAATTTGCCCAATCCTTGTTAAAATTGAATTTCTTATTTTTATGCGGTGCCCCTTTATTCGACTTAAAACTGACGTGTCGTTCTCCTTTGTATTGTCGAAATCCGTGATCTAATTAAATTAATTTAATAATTAACCAAATAACGTATTAATTAATTACTTACCAACATGATTGAGGAATTTCTTTCCTGGTTTAGACATTTTGTTGCGACGCAAAAACACCACGCTTTTTTTTATTCGCAAATCTTATCGAATGTTTAATTATTTTAGATTATGCGAGTTCGAATAAGTATTAGGAATTAGTTTTGTTTATAATCAATTAATTTTAAAACGATTTTTATGGGAAACAGATTTCACCACAAAATATCACCTCGCGTCATTCACAAAATGGAAACGAAACAGTGAAAAATAAAAATCACTAAAAAAATAATTCTTTTATCTCATACCAACTGTCGATAACAAAAAATCCCTAACCTTAATCCGCGCTTCTCTAACTGTCACACGTCAAAAAAGCGACCGAAAAACGGTTATTTTGTAACTTTAAACAGTATTTAGCTTCGAAAATTGGAGTTATCGTCTCTTTTACTCATATTCTTTTAACGATTATATTGATAATTGCAATATTCGGTGAATAAACCAAAAATGAGCGGAATTGCTGCTGCTAGGTTAGCCGAAGAACGCAAAGCTTGGAGAAAAGAACACCCTTTCGTAAGTCTTTAATTTGTAATAATCATGAAATATCACGAATCATTTATGATGATTCCGCGCAAAATTAAAGTTGGATGTTACAAAAACTAGCTTTAAGCTTAAATTTTCCTTTTATTATAACCGCCATATTGTAATTTTTTCAGTTTAATTACTGGAACTTGTGTTTTCTTTCTATTTTATTAATAAACTATTTTTGTTAAGGGATTTGTTGCTCGCCCCTCAAAGAATCCTGATGGATCTTTAAACTTGATGAATTGGGAGTGTTGTATCCCCGGTAAGAAAGGAACCCCTTGGGAAGGTGGTCATTATAAGCTTCGAATGATATTTAAAGACGATTACCCCAGCAGCCCACCAAAATGTAAATTTGAACCTCCACTTTTCCACCCTAACGTTTACCCATCGGGAACCGTTTGTTTATCTCTTTTGGATGAAGAAAAAGATTGGAGGCCAGCTATAACAATAAAACAAATCCTTTTGGGAATTCAAGATTTGTTAAATGAACCGAATGTCAAAGATCCTGCCCAAGCGGAAGCTTACACTATTTATTGGTAATTATTGAAGTGATTCAAATTAATTTTATTAAATTATTTGTTTTTAGTCAAAATCGTTTGGAGTATGAAAAGCGCGTCCGAGCACAAGCTAGGGCAATGCGTCAACAGGAATTGTAAGGAAATGAAAGATAATTAAGGCGATGTAATTTTTTTGCTATTCACCTCGAAAAAGAATAACAATTTCAGTTTCTTAAAATCTCTCCTGTTCCTAGAGGATAAGTTATATTAATATTTAGTTCTAGAACATTTTTTCAATAAAATTTTTATAAAACATTTCTAATTAATATAACCTCAAATACGTACATTTACGTGAATACGAATTTAAACTACAAATTTATAAAATGGATCTAAGCTATGAAGTTAGTAATAAAAAGAAGTCGGTAATACAGATACCTAGAATTACGTCAACTTGACAACTGATCTGTCAAAAACCAATTATGCCAAAAAGCAATAAACAACGGGGTAATTGATCTGATCTACTTTTATTAAACGGGCAATTTAGAGTCGTCGCGCACAAAAATGCCATCATCATTATATTTTTAACGTTTCACCTCCTACGAAAGTAACGAAAATGCTTTCTTATGTGCCAGGAATAAGCTCGAACAAAAACAGGTGAGATGTCCCTTTAAAACCCTACAATGTCCGGCCACGCAGTGGTCGTTTGGGAGTACGAAACCCGTCCCGGGCAATGGAAACCTTACAGTCCACCGGTAACCCAACATTTAGAACGAGCTAATGGGAAACAACTCACTCGAGTACTTTTATCAGACGCGGATCCATCTCTATTAAATTACTACGTAAATTTGCGCACCTTAACGCAAGAAAATGAAGAAACGGGTAAGCTAGAACAATTAATTAAATAAACAAACAAAATTGAATAATAATTTTTTTTATTATAGAAGAAATTATTAAAGTACGTAGAAAATGTTATCCGTTAACTTCCCCCGCGGGAAAAGGGGCTAAATGGGAATACGCCGGATCAGATAACACCGAATGGTATTCATTTGATACCGATATACAATGTTTAATTGAAGAAGCTTGGGCGAAAGGTGATCAAACAATAGATATGAGCAAAACTCATCTTGGGTTCCCATATGTGATAAACTTTAGTAATTTAACCTTACGATGGTTATCAAACGGATATATCCGAAGTGTAAGGCGCGTTAAACAAGCCCCATATCCTTTAGTAAAAATGCGATTGGATGATTTACCCACGGTAACCGGTCGGAGAACTAACGATCATCGTAAATCAACCCGAGCTCCTAATCCCGCCACAAAAACAGTTACTGAAACTAATAAAACCGGAAATAACGCAACGAATAATAAAAATAACAAGAAAAAAAATAAAAATAACGAATCGAGTAATTTGGCACGAACCATTTTAAATAATATTTTTGGGCATAAAAATTCTACATCGAGTAGTAACACAAATAATATAAGTATAAGTAATAATCATTCGAATAATCAAGGAAACAATTTAAAAGATAGCGTTTTAGACGCGGATAGTTCGAGTACTAAATCAGGTCGTCGGACTTCTTTGGATACGGTATCGACGTATTTAAGCCAAGAAAGCCGGGAGAGCCAAGCAACTTCATCAACCGCTGAATTATTAAATTCATCAAGTGGAAATAGCGATGATGGTATTGATAATGAAGTGCCTTCAATCGTTGGGATTGATCCGTCATCGGCGATAATCTCAAAATTTGTTCGATTGTGCCAACAGAACGAATGGGCCCCAAGACAACCTTGTCCTGCTTGCCGACAACTTTTAAAACCCAACACGGTTGTTGTGGCTCTCCCTTGTAATCATTACATTCATTTAGATTGTTTAAATTACGATTTGACCCAACAACAAGCAGCAGGGCCCCATTTACACATTCAATGTCAGGTTTGCGGGTGTATTTATGGGGAAAAACATGGTAACCAACCACCGGGAAGTATGGAATGGGGTGTTATTGATCGGTGTTTACCTGGTTATTCTAATTGTCGGACTATACAAATTGTTTATAAGTGAGTTTTTTAAAACTGTTTATTTTGAAATGAATAATTTTGTTTTTGTAGCATTCAATCAGGGATTCAAGGCACTAATCACCCAAATCCAGGGAGGGAATATTACGCCGTTGGTTTTCCAAGGGTCGCTTATTTTCCAGATAACCCAAAAGGACGTAGAGTTTTGAGATTATTACAAATCGCATGGAAACGTCACTTAGTATTTACGGTAAGTCGATCGCACACGACTGGATGCGAAGATGTTGTGGCTTGGAATGTGCCTCATAAAACGGAAATTGGGCCAAGCAATTCAGGGCAAGGTTATCCGGATCCGGGGTATTTAACGAGTTGTATCAGGGAGTTGGAGGCTTTAGGAATCGTTGATGAAAGATAAAAAGGAATTATATTTAAGTCTTCCTCCAGCACTTATTATATTTGCAGAAAATGAAAAAGATTTTAATTAGGAATACTAAAATGTATATAAAAAGATTTAAATATGTTTTTTAAAAAATATTTAGAGAATAAAATGCAGCTATTAGTGTAAACAAAAATAAAAATTAAACAAAAAACTTTTAGCAATAAATTTTCTGTGATAGAAACATAAAAAGGAAATTTACAACATAAAAACATTTTTAATAAATAATTTTGTGCCAGATTTAGTTTATCTACCAATAGAACCTAGACGATAGAGTAAATAGACTGTTTGATTTATTTTGATTAAAAATCTAAAACGTAACTAGAATAAGTCTTAGTTAACGCACAATTTGCAAAGACTGTACATTTCAAATATTCCATAAACAGCTCTCTAAAGGCAGCTATTTCCAATGTATAATATTTATTTGAAGAAAAAATAAACGTTTTATGATTTATATCTTTGTAATTTTAACCTTCCTAAGACTTTTATTACTTGGAGGTAAAAATAAACTATAATCCTGTAATTGTATCTCGTAATCGTAATTTTACCATTTCTATTTTACAGTTTCCTGTAATGGATAAATATCAAACTAGTTTCAGGGATTTTTCCATAAACCGTTTATAATGATTTTATCGCCTATATCCGTTACTTTATGTCAATGGTTGATTATTATTAATATATGTTTAATTTAGGAATAATCTTTAAAATGGCATTTAATTAATTATTTAAAGAGAATTAATCAACGTCAAATCGAAAAGGATACATAACCAATTTTTAACTTCAAAAAAAATGATTACCAACCCAAAATAATTATGATTCCTAGTGATTTTTTGTTTAGCCAACCTAAGTCATTTTGACATTTAACTATAATTACTTTTATGAAGCATTTATGAAATCGTCAAGTTTCCAGCATTCTGGCGACCCGTAAGCAACCTCGGCGATTTGAGGATAAATGTCATCTCATAGGAGACTATGTATCTTCAAAATATATAAGAAACACCCACCAATATTATTTTTATTGCAGATTAGCATCAAAAAACTTAATTTAAATAATTCAAAAACAGATTTCTGTAATCATTCATTTCCTACCTAATTTTTAATTTGATAGATTTCACCACTAAGCATAATGTTCCTATTTAATTTTTAACATTTCAACCAATTTTTGGTGGTTGAGTTGGTCTTAATATCTCGTACAACATTGCTGGAATGTTGGGAAAGTCTCTTCCTTCGAATACATTTGCTAGGTCTATCCTTGTGTAACAATTATCTTTATAAAGAGACATTAGAATCTCAGAAGATTTGTTTCCAGATATTTAATTTGTATTTTCGTCAACATATCATAAAATTTCAACATAATATGCATGGCATAATAAAAAATTCATGTTGGCACCATTAATAAAATACGTAATATTCGTGCGAGACGCTGAATATGATACGTCAACATGAAATTGTCAGCTTTGAAGGAGATTCTACCGCCTTACCAAGATATAGAGTGTTTCCCAAAATTAATACATACATTTGCCGAGGATTTCTTGTCCACTCATTTAAACCGCACTTATATTGGGCTCATAAAAAACGATGCAATACTCCAAAAAAGAATCTAAAAAAGAAAATTTAATTCATTAAACAATATAATGCACAAAGCTTATTTCACAAATAAGATAATTTTTTTTAGTTTTAACGTTCTATTTTGAGGAACAATCCGGCATAAATTTAAACCGTCTCGTCTAATTTGTTTTTGCGGTGATTTATTGAACATTTAACGTACAAAAAAGCAAATTTAACTCGTTTCATTTGATTACTTCAAACATTTTCGCTCCACATGAAACGATTTTTATTAATTAATTATGACCCAACAAGAAAAAGAATCTTCGCAAGAAGGCCTTTCTAAACACTCAAGAACTTTTTTGTTTTTAACATCACTTATAGGTGAGAAAAAATTAATTTTAAAATTTTTATTTTGTTTTATTTTCTTTTTTAGTTAATTTATTATCGTTTACTTGTGGGATTATTTTCGCTTGGACATCACCTGTAATTCCGAAATTAAAACAAAATGATACACCTTTAGACCATAAAATAACGATTGAAGAGATATCTTGGCTAGCGCCGTTAGTTTCGCTAGGATCAGCTTTTGGGCCATTTCTCGGGGGATTTTTAGTGGATAAAATAGGAAGGAAATTATCTTTGGTGATTTGCGCGATTCCTTTAACTGTTACTTTTATTTGTTTGGCTTTCTCAACGATGATCGAACTCTATTATTTATCTAGATTTATTATGGGGTTAGCAATAGGTATCTTTATGACCGTTCAACCAATGTTTATCGGCGAAATAACCGAAATAACTAATCGCGGAATGATCGGTTGCTTAACAGTCGCTTTTATAACATGCGGAAATTTATTTTCGTTCTCATTAGGGCCTTATGTTACTTTAAAAACATTTAATTTAATCTCGAGTGTTTTTCCTTTAACTTTTATCATTTTATTTATCGTTTTTATTCCCGAATCTCCGACTTATTTAATTAAAAAAAATAAATACAACGAAGCTAAAACGGCGTTATTAAAATACCGAGGTGGGGATAAAAAACTCGTCGATGAGGAGCTTTTACAAACCATCGATGCTAAATCAACCGAAAACGGGGGAATTTCTGAAATATTAAAAACAAAATCTTTAAAGAAAGGGTTAATCGTTACCTGCGGGTTAATGATTGTCCAACAATTAACTGCAATATCTGTGGTTTTGTTTTATTTGCAAACTATATTCGACAGCTCAGGAATAAACGTCTCCTCTGAAATCGCAACGATAATAATCGGAATCGTTCAAATAATCTCAAGCGTTTCAGCTTCATTAACCGTTGAAAAAGCTGGCCGAAAAGTACTTTTTCTCATTTCAATTTCAGGGACGTGCTTAACATTAATAACTTTGGGTTATTATTTCCATTTAAAAGAAAACCACCTGGAGGTATCCCATCTTTCTTGGTTACCGATTTTGGCGTTAATGATCTACATTGCCACTTATAATTTTGGCGCGGGACCGATTCCTTTGCCGGTTTTAAGCGAAATTTTTCCACCTCACGTTATGTCGGTGGCTGCCACCTTAACCATTTGCGTTTGTTTTAGTTGCTCGTTTGTGTGTTCCAAGTTTTATCCGTTATTGGCGGTTCAAATTGGAACCGCCGTTTCTTTTTGGGGGTTTGCCGCGTTGAATGCCGTCGGAATCGGGTTCGTTTCCGTTTGTATGCCTGAAACGAAAGGAAAAAGTCGGAATGAAATTTTGGCTATTTTAGATAAATAAATTTTATTTTATAAGACGATATTAATTGTTAGTTAAGTTAATGTATCATAAATGTTTTCGAATTTTTAATAAAATAATTAAATTACCTAAAACCTTGTTCAAAAACAGATTTCTGTAATCATTCATTTCCTACCTAATCTTTAATTTGATAGATGTCGCCACTAACCTCATAAGGTTCCTAGTCGTGGTTCCTAGTTAATTTTTGATATTTAACCAATTTTTGGTGGTTAGGTAGTCTCGTACAACATTACCGAAAAGTTGGGAAAGCCTCTTCCTTCGAATACATTTTCTTTCTTTAAAATAAATTGGACTCAGAATGTTGTCGGTTGAATTGTTTGAGGTAACTTTGCCAGGATTAAATCAATTACTTGGTTATTTACACTTTTTATGAATTAAAATCATCCTGTTATATTATAAACGCCATAATGCTAAAATCAAATTAATTTTAGACTTCAATGTTTGTTAATTTTATAACTTACCAGGTAGAAAGAAAAGTGCCTTTTAAAAAAATTAGAAAACTTTCGAAGCATAAAAATAATTCAATCAGCTGTCGATGGTTGATTATTACTAATATATATTTTAGGAGTAATCTTTGTGCGCTTCATGTAATACTTACTTTTGTTTAGATAAAGCTCAAAAATGGTGTTTAATTAAACGTCAAATCGAAAAGGATACATAACCAATCTTAAACTTAAAAAAAAATTATTACCAACCCAAAATAATTATGATTCCTAGTGATTTTTTGTTTAGCCAACCTAAGTCATTTTACCATTTCCCAAACAAGTTAATAACTTTTCTAAAATATGATATTAAAGAACTCAGCGCCTCGCCCGTAAGCGACCTCGGCGATTTGAGGATAAATATCATCTTATAGGAGACTATGTATTTTGATTTCACCTCAAATTGCTGCGGTCGCTTGCGGGTGAGGTGGTAGAATGCTTGAAAACTGACGACTTCATGTTGATTCGCCAGATTTCTAGCATTCTAACTTTAATTTGCATTCATAAAGAATCCTTGTCCTATTTTATGACAAATTTAAAACTAGTTTTAAATTTCAATGCGTTTTTCTCTCTTTCACTCTTAACTGACATTAACTATGATTACCACATCAATATTCTTGATGTTGTATATATCTCGATTAAGGAAATCAAGATTCCCACCTAACATTAAAAGTTATCACTTTTATTGCAGATTAACATCAAAAAAATTAGATTTAAATAATTCAAACATATTTCTGTAATCTTTCATTTCCTACTTAATCTTAAATTTGATAGATGTCGCCACTAATCTCTTCATATTCCTCTTTAATTTTAATTTCAAGCGATTCCTTCTTTGCAAATTATTTAAACTTACTTTTCTTTACTCTATAATTATTCTTTAAAGAAATTGCAAACTCTTTTTTCAAAGAATTTTTTTCACAAAGAATCTTGTCTACTTTAATTTGCATTAATAAAGAATTCATCAAAGACATCGTTACCAATAAATATTAAGAAATTTGTATTCTTTTAACATTACCCGAAATGAAGTTGAAACATTTTAAAGGTTTTCTTAAATGGAATATTTGGTTATCGATTCCCGGCGGTTTATGGGACCCAAAAGTAACAGGGCTTTATTTAAATCTTTACAAGATCTATAAATACGTCATTTTGACGTTTGTTTTCTGTTGGTACGTTTTGACTGAGTTTATTAGCGTTTCTGCGACTTATAACGATCTATTTGAGACATCGAACACCTTAAATATAGCAATAATGCATTTGGGGGGAACCGTTAAATGTTGCATGTTCGTATTTCGAGGTGATAACATTCGCGAAATCGTTAATAAAATGGAAAACAACGAATTTAATTACGAAAACGCAAAAAATTTCAATCTTAGAAGCATAATAAATAGATATAAAAAATTGGGGAAAATCACGACGGTTATTTTATACTCTTTCGCGACGGCTTATTTTTTATTGGCCTTTTTGCCTTACATTTACGAGTATCTAAAAAGCTTGGTAACGAAAGATCGACTCACGAACAAACCTTACAACATGTGGATGCCCTTCAACCACGATACACCACTAAAATACGGAGCGATGCTTTTGTATCAAGGTTTGCCACATTTCGCGTTCATTCACGCAATTATCGGATCGGATACCTTACTAATAAACTTGATGAACTTGATCGCCTGCCACTTGGTCATATTACAAGGAGCTTTTCGAACGATTGAGGAACGTTGCCAACTAAAAATAAAAAAAGATAATTTTAAATTAACTTTAAATGAAACAATGGTGGAGGAATTTAAAAAAATGGTTCGACACCTCCAAGTCGTTATTGAGAGTTTTCGGGAATTGGAATCGTTTCAGAGTTATATTAATCTCGCGCAAGTTGGGTTATGCACTTTTGTGTTTTGTAGTTGTTTGCTTCTTTTGAGCATGGTGAGGATTAATCAATAAAAATTGATTTGATACATTAAAACGATAAAATTTTAGTCAACAGTTGGGAGTAACGAATTTATAACTTATATGGTGTACATGGGTACTGCGTTAATTGAATTGGGGATATATTGCGCTTTTGGGAACAACGTAACGGTTCAAGTATTTTAATTAAAAAATTGTTAAGGATAATTTCTTAAAATTTTGTGTTTTAGGCGCAATTAATCCCAAATGCAATATGGGAAAGCAATTGGATGGACACGACCGTTTCGTACAAGAAGATGATGATCTTAACGATGCAAAGGATGCAGAAACCCATGTTTTTAACGATTGGGAAATTCGCAACTTTAACGCTTTCCACGTTTACCGCCGTAACGAAATTAATTCTTTTTTGTGTTTGTTATTAATTGAAATAAATTTTAGGTTCTTAAATTGTCATACTCAATATTTGCGATTCTCGAAAACAGGGATGCTAATTAATGTAGCAGCTGCAAAAATTTCTCTTCCTCATTCTTTTTCATATTTACATCAAAATTGACAAATTATCTCCGAAAAAAGACAAAGACACTCTTTGTCCGCATCCAATTAGGGTGTTATTACTTCTGGTCGTCGTTGCCTCCACCTGCTTCTTCTGTTCGGTTGCGTCGTTGTCGTTGTCTGGATCTTCAGCGGGTGTTACCGGTGGCGGTACAGGTGGAGGAATACACCTCCTGCTAAGCACACAGGTGCCTTGAACCTCGAAATTGCCGCAAAAATGACGAGCGGATCGCGGTTAGTGTGTGCAGGGCCAAGGCTGTACCTGAGTGCAGTCGACAGGAACAGGTGGCGAGCATCTGCCCTCTTTCAGTTCGTGTTGGTAATGATATAGCCACACTTAATACCAAGCACCAGCATTATTCCTACAAAAAAAATAATAATCAAAAATTTATTTATAACAAATAAATCATTAAAAGAATGAGGACACTTAATTATAACAATAAATTAAGGATATTTAGCTTCGTAAAGCACAGGTGATCCAAAGCCGTTTTGGCGGATTTACCATATCAGCTGTTATCAGTAGTTATCGCACCAGGTGCAACAACACAAGCGGGTGCTATGCATTTCTGGGTTACTGTTTGCATTGGTAAGTCAATATTTACCATTTTTTTTTGTTCTAAACATAAAATTAATTTTTTCTTTATATTTATAGAGATCATTTTCAAAGTTTGTTCGTATTATTCCAACTCGGTAATGATGCCAATCACGGCGCAGCATCTAAATAGAACAACCAAGGCGCCAGCGGTTAAAGTGTCGCAACGATTTCTTCGAAGTAAAAAAGAAGGCGACCGGTTAGAGTCCAGTAAAAGAACGGGAAGTAAAATGACAAAGCTGTAACGTATCGCTTATTCGGTTACAGATCCGGATTTAGATTGCATTTTTTTTTTCGGGGAATACCCCGAGTTTGTCTATAAACATAAAATAACGCAACTTGTGTTGAAACTTTTTAATAAAATCAAATACTATGCACTGCCTCAGTTTTTAAATTACACATTCGTATCATACAATTATTTTTTTTATTGTCATGTTTTCTCCACTGCCTCGGTTTTTAAGTTACACATTTGCATCAAAAATATTACTTTTCTTTTAATGTCATGTATTTTGTACTGCTTCGGCAGAATAGCTGCCTCGGCTATTAAAATACACATTCGCATCAAAAACATTATTTTGTTTTACTATCAAGTATTCTTCACTGCCTCGGTTTTTATGTTACACGTTCCCATCAAAAACAGTGATATTTTTTTATTGTCAAGTACACTATTAAATTGCGTATTGAAAGGTTAATTGGTAAATTAACAATTTTTTAAATTTTAATAACATCAAAGTTGTTTTGGTTAAAGAATGGTTAAAAACATGTGTTCGAGTAAAGTGTGTGTCCGGCTCTGTTATGGAATCTGTGTATTCAAGATCAGACATCTGGAGCCAACCAGGCAGCCAGCAGTCACGGCCTCGACGGAGAAGAATTTTCATACGGGCTATTCTTTCTCTCGGTGAGACACCCGACTTCGTTACAGAGCCAAACAAAGCGGCAAATCACCGTGACTCATAGTAAAGTTAAAAAGGCTACATCATCGCAAATAAAAACATATCACTTTTATTTTTTTCGCTCTATCTCAAAATTAGAATGATATTAATTGTTATAATACTGGTGTTTGTATTTGGGATTGGTATTTATGGTGTTGGTCAATTGGGATTCGAGTCACACGGGAGACTATAGATTCCGGTGTGCCGCTTAGAGATCTGCGTGGTACACAGTAGGCGGCGCTCTCGGCGGCAGATCAGGCAACACCTGGCGCCAACGACGGCCCCTCTTATATGGTCAGACGGACAAGTCATACCTCCTACCGTCCGGACAAGTCAAAGATCTACCGCTTCGTTCTTAACGTTCGAAATTATAAAAAATTGTTATGAACCAATTTATTTTATGTTTTTGAATTTATCTAAAGTTCAAATTGAAATGTTTCAAATAATAAACACAACTTTATTGCACTTTATATTGTTTTGTAATAATCATTAAAACCCTACATTCCGTATGCAACATGCAAAGAAAACTTTCTGAACAATTTAATTTTAACTGCATCGTATTCCTCATCATCTATAGTCACAAAAATGAAGAGGAAACAATTTTTACCATTTACAATCTTTCTAGGAAAAAAGTTCATGAGGATTTCTTGCAAATTTCAAATTGAGCAGACGTTCTGATCAATTTAATTTCAATTACACCGTATTCTCCACCATTTATAGCCACATATAAGAAATGAAATTAATTTATGTCACTTTTATTTTTTCGGAAAAAGAGTTTTTGAAGATTTCTTGTAAATTTCGTATTTCTTATCATGTTGTCTATATTATTTATGTTTTGTAAATTTATATTATATACAGTAACAAAACTACTATGCACTTGCACTGTTCCATATAGAATACAACATAACTTAATAGTACAGGCATTGGGTAGTTTTGCATATTTACGTATATTTAACCTTTCAACTACTTCAATAAAAATATACAACAATCTAGCGCTGAATAACAATTAAAACTAGAACTAACACTAGACCTAGAACTAGAATCATTTGAGTTTAGCCGCACGTCTCTAAAGACGGCTAAACCCGAATGATTCTAGTTCTAGATATAGAGTTAGTTCTCAATTTATACTAGCACTGTTACTATGTAGAACTAACACTATACCTAGAACTAGAATCATTTGGGTTTAGCCGCAAGTCTTTAAAGACGGCTAAACCCGAATGATTCTAGTACTAGGTATAGTGTTAGTTCCAGTTTTACACTAGTACTGTTACTATGTAGAACTAACACTGTATATTGCATCTTAAGTGAAATTCACTATACTTATTTAGATATTCAATTAACTATATATAAGTAGTTATACCACCCAAGGAGTCAAAATTTCCTTAAATTACTCTTTAAAAGAGAGACACCATCTTCAATATTCATTTCTTAGATCAAACGGCTATATTAGTTAGTTAAATTGCGCACAACGAAATGTGTTACTTTGTGACTCGAGACCATTTCACAGTCCAACGTGTTTTCCGCCGATTCTAAACAGATGCCAAATTGCCATGTATACTCCTCAAGAGTGTGTAGATCTTAAATGTTTTCAAGCTCAAATTGTAACGTATTTGAAGCGTTAACGTTTCATCTCTTGGTTAATATTTAGAGGTTGGTGTCTATTAAGTGACAAGACTTTGTGCTTTTTTATGCTGAAGATAGATTGTAATTGATGATGATAACTGAAGATTTAGAAGAAAGTTTAATTGATTAATAAAAATGCCTTTTCATCAATAAGATAATAATAAATGAAAGTTTATCCTGAGCGCATCGCACCATCTGTTGGACGCTTTAACACTTAGAGCGTATCGCGGGAGAAAAACGGCAATTTAATCGCGGCAAAACAGACGGCCTCCGACTGCTAATGAACATTGCAAATAAATAAACCTTGACAGAGAGTGAAAGCGCGGATTCCTCATCCGCATTGCGATAACGTACTTATCGGTATACGATTAATTATCGCTGATATCGCAAACTCTCTCATTCCATTTGTATTTTCTTATTACTCTCTTCCTATTGTCGTAAGCACCTCTTTTGTGCAAGACTATAACACTTAATACTTCCACGTGTTCCATATACGGCTGTAACTATTTAAATTCAAGGTGAATAGAATATAATATTCCTGATGAGTAACTTTGTATGATCTAAATGTTTTGAAAAGTTATTTAAAAGGAAAAAGAAGAAAAAAGGGGAAGAAAAAAAAAGAAGGAAAAAAAAAGAAACAGGTGCTTTAGGTGGATATCTTTAGGTGAGGTTGGACAGGTGTCCTATATTTTTTCTGGTAATCATCCCTCCTTTGAAATAACCCAACGTGTATGCGTCACGATTTTTTTCCCTATCATTATATCTTTTAGACATACAATTTTAATTCCAATTATAAAAAAAATATCACCCAAAAATGATATTAATCAATTTTCTTCGGTTGCGTTTACAGTGAAAGCGGTTACATGGGCAAAATTTTTCATAATTGCCGATATGTTTATGTAAGAAATTTAAATTTTGATCAAAAGGGTGAAAGCTATCGGTTTTTGAGTGTGTCAAATCGCCAAATTAGATACCAATACGAATTATTTACCTTAAAATGAAACGCCACAAACCGAACCGTAGTGAAGTATTCTTGAGAGCACCTGTTCTTAATTGAGTTTCGGAAGGTTCTTCTTTTTGTTGGTACGGTTCCCCTTCTTATCGCGACGGACTAATCTAAATGGCACCTCCAGAAATTTGGGCTAAGCCCAATTACGCATGCACATGTTTCATTATCAACCCAGATAGGATCCCTTCACCCAATTCTTTTGTTCCACCGCTTCTTTTTTTCTTTTTCTTTTTAATTTTTTTTTTATTTTTTTGTATCGGCCCTTAAGCTAAACAAAACTGACGGCGAAGTTAATCGTTTCTTGCGCACCGGGTGTTTCTTTTCCCTTCTTTTATTCCAACGAATGAGACACCTGTCTGAATTAAAAATATACACATTAAAGGAGTTATATTAAAAGATTTTAGCAAGATAAATAAATGGAGATATGAGACATAAAAGACAAGAGAAGTTTGCAAGTAAAGTATCTTGGGAGCTGGATGTTTGGGCAGGCAGTCGGCGTCGTCGGACTGGCGCCACTGTCGCAACGGCGCGGTTGTGGCCAACTCGATTAGAAACAAGGCACCCGGGATTCAACATTGCAAAACCTACGATTTACTCTTGGCTACTATTAAAAAGATTCAATTATATTCAGAAAATTTTATGATTTTATTAGATACCACACACATTCGTTTCATCTTTTTTGGGAGAAGGAAAATGATAAAAATGTATCTCCCGAAACGAGAAACCTACACCCTTCCCGAATTAGAAGCTTTCCAGATGGTTCTCGGGTGGCTTTAACTTTCCGTTGTCTATAAAAACAAAACCGGGTTATGTTGGGAACAGAAAGTCTCTAAATAAACAGGAACGTATTTCCTACGAACCGCCTCTTAACCGTCTGTAAAATCTCCAGTAGAAAATAATCCTTTCATTACCAAAAAAATTACAACCATAATTTTTTTCTTGATCTTTACGATCAAGTTAATAAAAGCGTATACAATTTATTTTTTTGTCTATAACACTTGCTAAAGATAAGTTTTTAAGTATTATCTTATAAAATATATGTTGTTTTCTAGTAACATTTTCAGTAACTAGATAATTGAGGAGACTGCTTTGACAATAAAATGATATCATACTTTCTCGGTACTAAATTAAATCGGGACACAAATGTTGTTACAACAACTACATATATGATATTAGATAAGACAAATTGCGGCCTCGGCTTATA